GGGGAATCATAATGTACCAGGACTCAGACCAAGATATAACTGGAAAGTTGATGTTGATTGAATTGGACAATCTCTAGCCCCGGGCTAACAAGAATTGACAAAGAGAAATCACGGTCAGATTGCTATTAAACGGCTAAACAAACAAGAAAAATGATGCAACATCCAATCTACCTGCTTCAACGACGCAGGGAAAGTCAGCAGCCCACATTGCTCCGGAGTCCTAACAACCTCCTTGGTTATTTCCCTCCAGGACCGGCACACAGAGGCACAAGTAACTACATCTCTACGGGCAGGCCATGTTATCTCACTTGCCTCTATTCGCTGGATTATGTCAAGCAGCAGTTCATGTGGCAAACTCGCCCACAGACTTTCTTGAACGAATATACATGGAGAGGATGTTAACCTCTCAAGAGCCACATATGACCTTCCACGGCTCAATACACACTTTTTCTCAGCTTGCTTTTTTGATTTGCCATCTACATTATCTCCTACTCCCTTAATCTCATGAATAATTGATTTCAGTGCCATTTCATTCCCTCGACTACTCGTATGCTGAGTAATAATCATGGAATCAAAGGATACATTAAAAAAGTAATGTTGAACTAACAAAAGGAACATCATCAAAGTCTATCATCTCACACTACTGAATATGCAAAGGAGTTCCCTCCAACTCCAATTTTTGCACCATTTTACCTCAAGCTTAGTTCTTGATGTTCAAATTCTCAACAAAGAAGCTTTTAAATTGAAAATAATAGCCACATTATCTAACACTTCTTAGCCAAACAAACTATTATTACTACTATAAAATCCAAAAAGCGTGCAACTTTTTCTTCCAAATCAAATGTTTGATGAGAAAATGTGGAATTAAGCATGCAAAGTAAATACGATGAGTTTTTAGACTGGGAGAATGTAGAAATATCTAAAATACCAAAAAACGCAGCATTTTAATTTCGAATTTGGTCCCCAATTTTCTCAACAACGACAAAAGAAAAAAGGCGAAAAGAAAAAACCCGGTAATTTACTTCAAATGCAAAGGGATTCAAACACCTATTTAGCGAATTTCGCTGATCCAAAAGCAAAAAACGAACTGATACGCTACCACCGTTCACGCTCCGATGTCTCCCAAACACAAAGCACAATCAAACTTTGGAAATAACGAAACGCCAATTTGCTGGTACAATTGTATGCATAAGTTCGTAAGTTTTGTTAAGAGTTCCAATGTCTAGGTAGAATACAAGGGATAATATTTATTCATGAATTAAACAAATTAAATGCAAATTTTACCCCTCTCAAGTTTCAATTTTTATTCTTGTGATTTAAATATTAATTTACATAATATTTTGTATTTCGAAACGAGAGATCGTGCCTAACGTTGTATGGCACAACCGCCGCCGCTGTCAGCACTGTCCCCACCGGCTTCACGAACACCGCCGTGAGTGGGGCCACGTCCGCTAATTGGATCCCGAAAGTTCTGCTCCTTTTTTCCTTTTTCTTTTACTTTTCCGCTATTTTCTCATCCGTTAAATTTAAAGGTTGGCGTTGGGATCTTTTTCTTGTGAGCATTCATGTATACCAGTGTGATTATATTCTTAATCATCCAATACTAGTATACTTTCTTATAGTGGCATAGTTACCTTAGTTAAGGGATGTCAATTGAGACTATATATATATA